TGTGTGTGTGTGTGTGTGTGTGTGTGTGTGTGTGTGTGTGTGTGTGTGTGTAGGTCAGAGATGACTCACTTACCCCAGGGGGTGGGGATAGCGACCCTAGTTGGGCTCAGTTTGTCCTGAGTCCTTGGTTATCTCTGAGGAAGGCTGAAAGGGAGGAAGGGAGTGTGCTCAGGAGTGTGTTAGAACGAAAGAGACATGACTTCCTGCTTGTGGTCTGGCTCCAGCTGACCTGAAAGGCACTCTGAGTCAGGGAGTGCTCCTCAGTATGAACTGGGCATCTTGAGGTAGGATAGAAAGACAGCAAATGAAGGGAACATGAGAAGAGGAAAGAGCCTCTCACCCCTGGAGCTGGTTTAAGAATCACAAAAATGGCTCACCCAGTTCCCTGAAAAGAACAAAACTCCGTTTTCAGAGAGAGACCTCAGCTGTGTGAAGACAGCTTAAGGCTGAAATGTCTGTGATCGTTTGAGTTCAACCTCATTACTCTCCTTTCTCAGCAAACTGCACTTTTGAATAAATCTCACAAACAAGACAATTCGTGTTTATAGTCAAAACCTATACCTAGCTGTCTAGAGAACTACTGGCGGAAATTCCTTAGCCTTTTTGACCCCCACTTCCTCCTGCATGCGTTCCTTTCCCTTTCTGAAGCATCTCTCTCTCAACACTCAGTTCTGTGGCCTGTGATGCTCTGTGAATATCTGAGGCTCTGGGTGTTGAGAGAAAGAAAGATGCTACTTAAAGACAATTTCCACCCAGCTGAATGCTACCACAGTTAGTAGGGTTTTAAAGAACTTCTGAATAACCTAAATGATTGAGACATGCGCTGTTAAGCACACGCTTACATTTACACTCTTGCCTTCTTATATTTTGCATACAGGGAGACTAAATACATTTGGGTCTGTTAATAAGCATGCTGTTTCTCCACATTAAAAATTATGTGTGATGGGGCTAGGGAAATGGGATAGTTGGTAAGTGGGAGGCCTTGAGTTCGGATCCCCTGAGAACCCACAGAGAAGACCAGGCATGGGGGCATCAATGGAGAGAGAGGAGGGAGAGACAGGCAGACTCCTCAAAGCCTGGGAGCCAGCTTGGCTATATGACAGAGTTCCAGGGTAATGATAGATTCCATCTCACACAAGAGGCAGACGGCGCCTGAGGAGCAGCGCTTGAGGCTGTCCTCTGACTCCACACGACTGTGCATAGCAGATGGCGCCTGAGGAACAGCGCTTGAGGCTGTCCTCTGACTCCACACGACTGTGCATGCGTGGGCACACACACCTACACAGTCGCACGCCCATGCCCACACCCACTAAAATGGTTCAATCACGGCTCTCAGCTTTGTAAGATGGAGAGTCAAGAAGCTTGCCACCAAGTGCCAGCATGTGGCCAAGATTCAGAGCTTCTAGGTTTCCTGCATTTGGATTACTACTTATGTGTGTGATTAAACCTCCTGGGATTCTTGGGAGGAGGGCCTGACTTAGCAGGCCGGCTTCAGTGAAAGTGGTCTGTGCTTGATAAGGGAAGCTGAGGGACATGAAGGATGAACCTTTGTTAAGGAAAGAAGAAAGTCATTTTGTCATAAATAGTTTAAAAGTTATTTAATAAAGAAAAGAAAAAAAATAAGGAACAAAAAGCCTAAATGGGTAGGGTAAGGTGTGAAGAGTCTATGAGAAAAAAGAGAAATCTAATCTCCATGGCCGGGCCGGGTAAATGGATGGCCATTGTCAGGTTTTGAAATGAGCTCCGGTATCAGGCGTGCGGCCATGTGGAACGCCTCTGCCTCTCTCTCTGCTGAAAGGACACAGCTCCTTGGACTATTGGCCTCCTCTTAATAAGAGATTATAAATGTTTTCTTTACCTGTTGAGTAACCTTCCTTGTAGACAAAGGTTCTCTTCTTCCCCAAATAATTTCCTGTGCTTCGTGTTGCCTTTTCAAACTTTTTATTACTTAAGAAAGTGGAGCCCCTCGGTATTGAGAGTGAAGGCTGGTTATTTTTTTCCTTTAACAACTACGTTGCTTCCTCTAGTTTCCTTGGAAATCTTGTCGTTTTGGTTAACTAGGTAACTAAGTACCGTTTCATAGTAACCTGTGACACTAGTCAAGTCTTCAAAGCCCTTGACAACTTTTTGACACCGCTGAATTAAATTCTAAATGCAGTCTTTCTGACCTCAAGCTAACTTTGAAATTTCCCAGAGGCCCCTGGAAAGTCTCCAGGGATTTGTTCTGTCATCGTGTGAAAGACAGAGCTTAAGCTAATTAGCTTACTTGTTACGTGAAATCACAAGAGGAAGTTCCCTGGAGTAAGCTGCGTTGACTCTTTTTTTTGTAGCACATCTTTGTGAAGAGGTGTCAAGTGTCAGGAGTTGCATGAGATTTCCAGAGATTGGTCTTGTCTTTTCTCTCCACACTGGGTCCCTGGATGGTGTGGTCAGCCATCTTTGCACTGACTAACGTGAGACCTGTAGGTTGTGAGACTGACCTTTTCTCCCCGCTCACCCGCTCAGATGCTTTTCTGAAAGCAGGCTCACTCAGCTATAGCCCAAGCTTTCTTCAAGGAGTCTCAGAACACTCTGACCAAGAGACTAGAGTAAGACTGTAGATGGCTCCAAGAATACCTGGTTCAGGAGTCTTTCCAGAGAGAGGAAGACGCAGGTGGGTCCCTGAAGTGTGGCCAGGTGGCTGGTGGATCAAGGGTGGCTATGGTTTCAGAGTGTTTGAAGCATTGTTAGTGCTTTAGCCCTTGTTCTGCGCTTGGCTAACTCAGAGAAGCTGTGAAATTCCCCTTTCAGTTGTTTTTGGAGATAGCTTCAGTCTCTGTCGCCCTGGCTGTTCTAGAGCTCACTGTGTTGACCAGGCTGGCCTCGAACTCACAGAGATCCACTTGCCTCTGCCTCTTCAGGTCTGTGATGAAGTGCGCCACCAAGCCCAGCTTGAAATTACACTTTTTAAAGTGTATTTATTTTTAAATCTGTTTGTGTGTGATTGTAGGTGGTTGTGAGCCACCCAACATGGGTGAGAATTTCACTTTTCTGAGAGAGAGAGCAGCAGGCTCCCCCTGCCCCTAATAACTCCGCTTTTACAAATTAAAAAAGAAACATTTAACTTCTCCCCACCTGATCCTTTAGAATCTATTAACATTTCTTTTACAGCCATGTAAGTATTTGCATAATTTCAATAAGTCGTCACTCTAATTTTTAAATGATGTTTATTTCATGTGTGTGGGGTGTGGAGGGGTTCTGCCTTGCAGGTATGTCTTTGAACCACTTGCATACCTAACGCCAATGGAAGCTTGTAAGAGGGTCTCAGAGCCCCCGAGACTGGGCTTACAGTCAGTTGTGAGCTGCCAGGTAGGTGCTGGAAATTGAACCCAGGTCTTCTGGAAGGGCAGCCAGTGCTCAACTCCTGAACCATCTCTCCAGCCCACGATGCTATTTTTGTTGGGCCAGCCAGATAGCTCAGAGGACAAAGTGCTTGCTGTGGAAACATGAAGACCTGAGTTCAGATCCCTATGGACCCACATAAAAATCAGGGTGTGATGGCACATGCCTGCACTCCTGGTGCTGACCTCTGGGTAAACGTCATCTTCCTTTCTTCCTTCTCTCTTTCTTTCCCTCCCTCCCTCCCTCCCTCCCTCCCTCCCTCCCTCCCTCCCTCCTTCCGTTCCTTCCTTCCTTCCTTTCTTTGTCATTGTCCATGAATCTGGACTGTGTCGTTTTTCTAGCGTCTGCCATGAGCAGTCTTTCTCTCCGATTGTCTGTGTTTTCTTTCTCTCCTGACCAGGCCCCGGCAGCTGAAGTCTGCTGCTGGCTAAGGACCATCTGGAGAAACTGAGGACACAGATGCTGCCTCTGTGCCCTCCTCGGGGCACAGCAATGGCCAATGCTGATGTTCACACTATTGCTGGGGCCATTTCCACCCTGGCTGTTGGCCTGACCAGCTTCTGGCCTGGTGTCTAGGAATCCTTTCCACCCTTCTGGGTTCGGAAACTCCTGATCCTCCTGCCCCTATCTCCCAAATCCTGAGATCACAGGCTGCCGTACCCCATTTATGGCTTTTTTTTTTATTTAAATCATTTTTAAACTTATGTGTGTGGAAATGTTTGTCTTTGTTTCTCTTTTCCTTTTTCATAGAAATTGTTCTAGATACACTCCTGACTATCCAACAGCAAATCCCAGAAGGGAAAAATCACAAAACTACCACACTGCTCAAAAGGCAAAGGGTGAGGGGGACGACTCCGTGGCCTGCTTCTGGCCAGGTCTATCTAGCGGACCCAGGCTCTGTTTAGCCTCCTCAGCTGCACCAAAGAGTCATGGCCCCGGAAGTCCTCGGAAGTCCTCGCCAATATCAGATCACCTGAGGTCAGGCAATCCTGACCTCGCGACTCCTCCCCCTTTCTCTCTGTGCCCACAGCAGAGCACCCTCAAATAATCCAGCAAAGAATTGCTCCACCTCCTAGCACCTACCATCCATCACTCTGCCTGCTCTTAGACTGTGGATCTTCCTTGTCCTTCCTGGGACATGAACCTCCCTCTGTCTATGAACCTGGTGGCATCTACCCTAACTAATGCAGACCTAGCTGGTCTAAAACACACAGAGATCTGCTTCTTTTGCCTCTGCCTCTCCTGCCTCTCCTGCCTCTGCCTCCCAGTGCTGAGATGAAAGGCATATACAACTTCAGCTGTCTACCTGGCCATCACTAACAAGCACCAGGAATACTGTATCTTTCCCTGGGTGTTAGGTACAACAAAGGATTTAGTTAACTTTGTTAGTGTGACAAGGATGAGCATATAAAAATATGCTTTATCCACTTCACAAACAGTAGTAAGACACTGGATCAGTGCTAATTGTTCCCCCCAAAAGGAGGACATGTGTGCGCACTAGCATTTGGTGTATGTATATAAATTAATGTGTGCATGTGTTCGTGTGTATATGTAGGTATCTACATATGTATGCTGTGGTGCATGCATATATGTGTGTGTGGAAAAACAAGTTGGGAAATGTACAGTTAATGAAACAGAGGCTGGACACATGGAAGTTTGTGACATCATTCCTCTGCCTTGGGACAAATTAGAACATTTCCTTTAAGTTAATAGGATGATTATTTGGGTAATGTATGTAGCTGCGCCACAGCATTCCTGTTTGAAAGCATTCAAAGATGGAAAACCCTTCAAATCTCTCCATTCCCCAATAAAAGACAAAGGCCCAAATAACAAGGCTACTCCCACACCTGCCAGCCTCCACGGGACCCTACCTAAAGTTATGTTGAATGCCTTCAGCTCGGTCCCTGGACAGCTGCACAGCAGGACAGATAAGAAGACAGATAAGAAGGTCTCCACTCCCCTATTCGCTGCCATGGTCCCTCCAGTTAGAGGAGGAGGCCCTTCCCTGGAAGGTCTTCCGCTTCCCCAGCCTTGGTCTCCTAGATACGTGGAATGCCAGGGACCTGTGACATCACCACAGGGCAGTGACCTTCGTTCACTGTGACACTGACTTCCCCATTAGAGTTTATGTGTTATGTCATGGACCTATGCCCACATGACTAGGAAGTGAGCTGGGGTCCTGTCCTCTGTGGGGCCCATGTCCCTATCTGGTGCTGTTGTCACTCACACTTCTAAGTCCTCCTTGTGGGCTCTCCCTGCAGGTGTGTTTTCAGAAGCCTTATCTTTTACTTGTGGTCTCCCAGGAACCTACACATGGCCGCAGCTCAGCTGCTGGGATGGAGGGGCAGGAAGTAGTCAGAAGAGGCCAACAGTGTCTTCCAGATTTAGTGGGGACCCTAGGACAGCTGGACACCAATCACCATCCACTCTTCACCATCAGTGGAAGAGGTTGACGGTAGGTGAGGCTTTCTTGGTAGATGTGGTGAAAACTCAACAATCTCAGAATGAGAAGTCTTGTCTGGCTTTGTCTGTATAAGTAAAGACACAGAGAAGTGTGGACTTAACAGGTGTCATGATTCAAGTCCTATGAACTAAGAAAGGGTCTGAAGAGGTTCCGGGAGTGTGGCTACATCTCTCCAGGCTTGTGACTCAGTTGAATGACTAAAGACAAACACAGACATGGCCAGAGGACACACATGGTCAGTGGTGCAGCTGAGCCCTGCCACCTAAACAACTGTCTAGGAAGTCAAATGCCAGATCCTCATGTGGCTGTCTTTATGCTGACCCTGCAGGACTCAGGACCAGTGCTCCAGGAGCCTGGCTCAGTTCACTCCAGAAGTCATTCTGTATGGTCATCCCAAACCTGGTCCTCTAAAGCAGCTGGCATGTGCTGTAACTGGGTTAGCTCTGCAGGGCTGAGCTATCCAGTGGTCCAGCATGGCTTCACGGGGCTGATGTGCTGTGACCTGGTCCCTGTCCTGTACTGGTTCACTGAGCTTGGTCACTGCTGGGGATGAGCACTGGAGTTAAGCCTTCTTGTGCCATGCTTGCTAACCCACGAGCTAGACAAGTCATAGGCTCCCCAGAGAGGATGTGTGAGCCGCTCAGGCCACAGAGCTCTTGCTGCCTGATGGCAGAGGTGTCGGGTGTACCTGGGAGGATGCAGCCTGGCTTTCAGTTGCTTTTGGGGATTCAAATCCAAAGACTGGTCCTCCAAATTTTCCTTTGATCTTTAGCAAGAATTTTATACATCTTTCCCTTTATGTGGATGTTTTGAAGAGGTGTTGAAGTCAGGAGGGAATTCAGAAAATTGAGCTCTTGACACCCATTTCACTGAAAGTAGACTTTAGCTCATTCATGTATCTGGCTTGGGACATGTGGGACGCCCCCATGTGCTGCCGTTGGTGGAGAGAGTGCTGTGAGTCCCGGGCAGTTGGTCCCTGCGTCTTCTGGGATGGTTCCAGGAGAAAGAGGCAAATACTGGCATATTTTTAAATAGCTTTAAAAATTAAAAAAAAAAAAAAAACCAACAACTTAAAGGCAGGGCCTCATGTATGACATGCTGACCTTGAACTCAGCATGTGGTCAAGAATGAACTCCTGATCCTTCTGCCTCTGCCTCCCAAATGCCAGGATCACAGGTGTGGGCACTATGCCCAGTTTATGACTCTTTTTTTGTTTGTTTGTTTAATTACATGTATGAATGTTTTGCTTGCATGTGTGTATGTGCACCACAGAACAGGGTATCAGGTCTCTTGGAACTAGAGTTACAGATGGTTGTGATAGGTTATGATGGTTATGATGGGTGCTGAGAACTGAACCTGGATAGTCTGGACAAACAGCCAGTGCTCTGAACCATTGAGCTGTCTCTCTAGCTCCACGACTCTTTTTTTTTTTTTTTTTTTTTAGTCAGGTTTTCTTTATTGCTTTAACTTTTAGAAATACATAAATTCAGAAAAGCTGAAAGAAGGATTCCTGACCTCATTCCTGACCTTCAAGCACTGGCAGCACCTTGGAGCATTTTGTTGTTTAAATAATTAATACATATTTACCATGGAGAATTCAAGCAATAGAAATACAAAAGGATGACGGTTTAGAAAATATCTGGGTTCCTGCTACAGTTGTGATCTGTGGGCATGGTGCCAGCATCCTTGCAGGCCAGTGGCTCCTGGAGGTCCTGGCCTGCCTCCTGTTGCACTCTGGGTTCTGAAACTTGCTTAGGCTCATTTTGTGCATAGTACCATGGGAGAAGAGCAAAGCAGATATCTGCCTCAGTTTCCCTCTAGTAGAAGTCTCTAGGAAGAGACTTAAGAAGCTTAAGGGTGCTCCTTAGGGAGCTGTCTCGAGATAGTGGCTCCTGGACAGGCCATGTTCACTGTGGTCAAGGCACCTGGGTGGTCAGATTGCCTGATTTACTTCCTGGCTTAGCCACTTACCAATTAATGTTCTGGACATGTCACTAAGTCTCAGTCTCAGGTCCTCGTTATCCAAACTCCATAGTCCCTCTGGGTGAGCCATGCTCCCACTAACACTGCAGTGCAGAGGCCTCAAAGAAGCTTAGTGTGGAGAGCAGCAGCCATCTCCTCAATTCCATGGGCTCTGCCTCTGTGGCGTTCAGAGGGACATCTGAGGCAGGGCTAGGCTGGCTCAACTGTTCTTATGCGCTCTGGCCATTGTCACCTCTCAGCTGGGGTGATATGGATGACCTGTTTCTCAAGGTTGGTTCTGGTATATTCTCATGGGCTTGCCAGAAGAGGATTATAGGCAGGCCAGGCGAAGCCCAGCAGGCCTCTCTGCCACCACTGTGCCCCTTTGTGAATGCTGGGCAGCCGAGCATGGGGGGGGGGTGCCCTTTACATTGCAGGCTGCTAGGTCACAGACTCCCAACCGAAGAGCCTTCTCAAAGCCCCTTTGTGTTGTTTTCACTTATGAAAATATCCCACAGACCCATAATTTGGCAATATACATACAACCAATTGTTTTAAAAACAGAAGTGACGCCGGCTATTATAATGTAAACTGTTTTCTAAATGAAAGAATTAAAGGAATGTAATTGGAGAAGTATACAAACAGTGGTTAAGACGCTGCTTCTGGGAAGACATATTACAACTTATAATCTTCCTCTATGGGTGTGCGTTGTTGGTGTCTAATCAGGCATGTGAATGGATTCAGGTGTTCCGTCCTATTAGCTGGAAATTGCTCTGTTATTTGCTGAGCTGTTTGTGTTACATTGTTACCGGCTCTGAGTTTCTCTTTCTCTGGAGTTCCTTCCCCTGGTCCCTGCAATCTATATAATTGTCTTCCTCACTTTTGTCTTGAGAAAGCTTTAAATAGAGCTCTCTGGATGAAGCGTGGTGTCAGAGGGAGAGTTCTGGAGCCTGCGGAAGAGTCCTAGAGAGATGGGGCCATCACAAAGATGCTGCCCAGGCAGAAGGGACCAGCTCCAGCTCACAGGGTCACCGTGGGGTTGTAACCAATAGCCTCTTTCCTCCAGAAGAGGGAGTCCTCGGCAGAGCTGCTGCTAAGTACCCCACAGCCTCTGAGGGAAGGGTGTGACCTCAGCACACCGTGATAGCACTCTGTTCCAAGGACCCCTGTCCCGAGGGCCTTGATGACAGAGAAGCACCAAGGGAGCCTGCCTTTTCCGGGGAAGCCACAATGAAGGTTCTCTGAGCAAGGAAAGCCTTTTTGTATTCGTTCACTCTCTCTCTCTCACTCACTCACTCACTCACTCACTCACTCATTTTCCTCTCCCACCCACAGAGCACGCTTTCAGCAGGCTCAGAGTGCCTCGATGATATCACTGGACATGAGAGCAGCGGTCAGATTCTCCCCAAGTTCTGCCCCGCCCAAGGTGTGCTGTGGCAGACATCCAGGGCCACTAGTGTGGAGCTGCTGCCGACAGAGCCCGGCAGGCGGGCTCTCAGGGGTCAGGCCCATGCTAGCCGGTGCTGGCTGTGCCGGCTTTTAAAATTCAAATAAGGAACCAAAGAGCGCTATAAGAAAAAACTTCGACAAAATTAAATGTAGTCACTACCTGGACACATTCCAGCGGTGACATGAGCTGGATGATGTGTAGCCATTAGAATGGCCTTAATCAAGCTGTGAATCCTGAGGCCACGTAGCCTCCTGTTATATTCTCATCCCCTCACCCCATCCTTGACCAAAAGAGAACATAGCTCACGGGTGTGCAAGGCACACTGGAGCAGTTACGCAAGGGTGGTTCTGCTGAAAGGGAAGGCTGTCCTATTAGCAGAGCTTAAATTTGCTTGGATGAATTTATAAATGTGTGTGTGTGTGTGCGTGCACGCGGGTGTAAGCCAGAGACTGACACCAGGAATTCTCAGCTATTCCCCACCTTCTTTTTAGGAGACGGGGACTCCCACTGAACATGAGCCTCAGTTCTGTGGACAGACAGACCAGAGAACTCCAACCTCTTACCTGTCCTCCTGTGCTGAGATTGTAGGGGAAGGTTGGAGCCCTGCCTTTTACCGATGGGGATCTGAACTCAGTCCTCAAGCTTCTGCTGGGAGGCTCAGCTGACTAAGCCAACTTCCCAGTCCCCACTGGTGTGTTTAGTTTTGCTTTTTTGTTATTGTTTGCTGATGTTTATTTTAATTTATTAAATCTTTTTCTTCACAATTTATTCATTATGTATCCTGATTGAAGCCCCCTCCCTCAACTCCCCCAGTTCCACCCTCCCTCTCTTTTCCCTTCATCTCCTTCCCCTAGTCCACTGAAAGGGAGAGTTCTCCACTATTGTCATCTGCCCAGAGCTTGTTAAGTCTCATGAGGACTGCTTGGATCCTCTTCCTCTGTGGCCTGGCAAGGCAGCATCATCAGGGGGAAGTGAGCAGAGAGCAGTCAGCTGAGTTCATGATAGAGGCAGGCCCTGCTCCCCTCACTCAGAGATCCACATGGAGACTGAGCTGCCAGTGGGCCACATCTGAGCAGGGGGTCTAGGTCCTTTCCATGC